GCCGGAGACCGAGGTGCCAAGGCTAGAGGCGTCCGCCTTGGTGCCATCAGCAGAAACGGCTGTGAAGTTGGAAAAGCCCCGGGCGACCATGACCTGGGCAACACTGAGACCGGTAGCGTCAAAGGGCGTGGACTTGGACTTTGCGGCGTTGGCGTTCTCCAAGTTGGAGCCGCCAACAGCAGGGTCGATCAGGGGAATGACACCACGCAGCTCAGGGCTGACGGGGAGTGTCGGGTCAGAGCAGATGGAGGGAACGCTAACGACGAAGGGGTTGAAGTTCTGCTCAGCGGCAACAAGGCCACGGGCAGCAACCACAGCGGCATCGCTGGTGCCGAGCTCAGACAGGATGAGATCAGCCTGGGTCAGCTTGCCGCAGGGGTTGGCGGCGGCCAGCAGGAACTGGATGGAGGAACCGGCCAAAGTGGCGGCCTGGCCGGGTTGGCCAAGATCAGTGAGTGCGCCGATGGCAGCAATAGCTCCGTTGCCCTCTTCCTGGCCGAAGCGGGCCTGGACAGCCGAAGCAAAGATCAGAGCCGGCACGAAGCGAGACATCATTTTGAAGCTGGGTGTTGTTTATGAGGTTGGAAAGGGCTAACGGATAATGGTATACAAAACAAATGATAATGCGTTCTTTTCTCAAAAGCCAAAGTAAAAGTTTGTTTGCAAAGGCAGTAACAGAAAGAGTCAAAATCAAAAATGTTCTCAGAACAGGTAGTGAAAGTGGTGTGTAGATGGCCGTTTATAGCAAGGAGCGTATATGAATCAGAAAAAACGAATGGGCGAGTTCACAGAACTGCAACGAAAGAATGGAGAGAGAGAAGAAGAAAAAAAAAACGAAGGTAGCAAGAGCCAGAAGTCAAACCCGAAGTGAATGTCGGTTGGTGAGGAAATCAGACGAAAAGAAGGGCATGTTGAGGGCGAGGCAAGCCTGCATTATATATCGTCGAGGGGTGGAGTGGCAGCATCGTGAGAACCAGAGTGAACAGCTCACAAAATGGGACGAAAGGCCCAGGGGCAGGGCCGTCCTCGCCATCATGCCTCGAGGCAGAGTCAGTGGAGACAGCAAGCAGTGCATATGGAATGCCAGGGGCCATGCCCAGGGGCATCGTGTCACATGGGCTGTCGCGCTCTCGCCAGCCGCCAGCCAAGCGAGATGCACCCTTCTTTTTCCACCATCAGACTTGCAAGAAGTCGAGACGAGACCGCAAAGACATGCACTACTCAGGCTTGGCATCGTGCTCCGTAGGGCGAGGCCAGACCACCCAAGGATCTCGTTGATGGAGACACTGTGACGAGCCTCCATGACGACAGAGACAGTATTGATGGCTGATGGGACCAGGCGTCTGGCAGGGGCCGCAAACACCGTCGTCGTGTCTCGTGGGTGCGGCTCTTGGGGCAAGGGGTGGTCCGGCCATTGCCGCCAAGGCGGACCCTGGTTTCTGGGACGCGCTGGCCTCTCTCTCTATCAAAACCCCATGTCGTCCTGCAGCGCGCCACGATCGCAGCAGATGTCAAGCATGCATAAATCGCAGGGACCCGGGGGTGGGGGTCCAGAGACAGAGGATTGTCTGGGTGATAAGCGATGTCAACGTGAGGGAAAAGGAGCTGCGAGAGGGAGAGCAACCAAGCCTCTTAGGATTTCCAAGATCTTCTCTTATGATTTTCAGCAGTGGAGACTAACGGACAGACAGGTCCAAAGGACAATGAGCATGGGTTGAAAGTAAACAAAAACGAGCCACGGCATAAATGATGGGTGCACCGCCTCTGATGCGTCCATGGAGAGGACGGGGGAGAGTTGGGATAGAGTCAGGTGAAGCCAGGTGAAGTTGGGGGAAAATGTGTTCTGTTGATGTGCGAAATACGGAGCAAAAGGGCGGAAAAGTTGAGTGCGAGATGACAAAGGGGGCGGAAGTGCAGATGCTGGGAAGGCACTATCCACTATCCATCGTAGATGGGTGGGTTATAGACGGAAACTACGACCGGACGCCCGTCCACTGACAGGGAAGGTGCGAGGTGAGGTCACGAAAAGGAAGGAAGCAGATTCGGTGGGAGGCGCCTTCCGCACTGGAGGACACGGGGCAAGTGTGTTGAACCCGGCTCGAGTTTCTGGGATATCAGATTTCTGGGAATATGTGGCTTTTCTGCGCATTCTTAAGAGCATATTAGTACGGGTCCGACTTTAAGGTTCCATGCAGGCGTGTGTGGATGTGTTTGGCGTTTTTGAAACCTGGACTAAACACACAACGACGGAAGGGAAGGGGCCACTGGGCGTCCTACGCATTTCCTGCATTGCAACGACTTTACAACTCATTTATTGTATTTTTAGTTTTGTTTTCTTATTTCTATCTTTCTCGCTCTCGGTGGCCTGTTTGATTCTGTTTAGCGCTTTCGTCTCATCTTTTGTTAGCGGCGTCGAATTACGCGCTTTCTACTGCCAGGACTGAACTAGCCCTGGCCATTATGAAACTGTGACATGAAATCGTCTCAAAACTGCCTGGACATTTATGAAGGTCGTTCTTTTGATCCAATGATGGCATCCTCGGCAGGGCCATGAGCGAGCCTGGCCATTTTCCGCCATCACCATAACCATGCGTCACCACCACAAATGGACGTCCTCCCGATCGTTGAGCACACGCCTATTCAAACGCCAGAACCGGGTCGACCAACGGAGTGCCAGAGCCATGCCAGTCAATAATGGATGATGGGGTCCCGGTCATTGGTTCGCTTTGGCCCAAGACGCGGAGGTCTCCACACAAGACGATGAAGACGATCAAACTGCTGAAACCAAGAACTAGCAAACCAGGCTGCCACATAACGCCGCTCTCGCCGCCACTCTGCATGCGGTCCAAATGACAAAAAGACCAAATGAAAACAACGCCTCTCGCTTTATGACATGATACGGATGACTGCATACCTGTCAGAAGATCGGTTTGGAACAACCGACCGTCCTCGCTCAAGAGGCATGCGTGAACCAGCCAGTATAAATATAAGTTCTATCCAAATATTATCTCTAAAAAAATAAGAGCTCTTATTCCCATTGAACGTTCCCTCGCTTCGTATTAAGGATGACGAGCATTGCATGACGTGTAATCCGTGCACTATCTCATGGTGCACTCATGGCAGGAGGGCGGTGCGTGCCGAGACACATTGCCGAATCAGGAAGGAAGTCCTCTCGCAGAGTTGCGATAACGAATATGCAACAAAAGGTGCCAAATTGTGTGTCGTCATGGGGGAAACGACGCCTCGTATATGAAATGGCAATGGCTAGCTTCTTGTGTGTGCTTTTCCGAGTCAGACCATCCTGGCTGGTACTCGACTGATGCCGTTGCTTATATCAGTTCAAGCGGCCACCAACTGACTTGCAATTTGATAGCGATACAAACCAATGGTGATGACATAAGTAACCTTGTGGTTCGTCCTCGTGTCGATTTTTTATACTTTGACGTATGTCGATCATTATTACTCCTGCTCGACGCACCTTTTTTCCGTTGCACAACACGTTGCTCGATCGGCCTTCGTATTCTCAAAATACGACGTTCGACCGGGGCATTAAAAACGCACAGAACACTAACAACACGACGCGCGACACGGGACACTGTTTGCCTGGTTTTCATTTTCTACTGTTCGCCGGTCCCTGGTCGTGCCCTCCACACTTTTGTCTTTCTTGCTGTCGAGTTCCATCGAGCTATTGTTTGTCGCTCCTTCCTCGACAATTTCGTCAATGAATCACCGCGACTGCCTGTTTTGGCAAAAGGCGCCTGTCTCTGTCTCTCCTCTCAGCCTCTCGCACATCCCTCTCCCATCCTCTCGTATCAACTTTATCTCGACCTCACGCAGAAAACATGTTGCGCAATCCGTTTGCATCGACCGATGAGCCCTGGGACCCCTCTCATCGCTTCGTGACCTCGTGGCTGCTCCCGCCGGCCGTTCTCGCCGTCCTGCGCGGCCTCTTCAGCCTTTACATTTTCGTCACCCTTCTCTTCGTCATCGCCTGGGAGTGTCGCCATGTCGGCCTCGGCGGTTGCGCGGCAGCCGGCGACGAGTTTTCGTACTTTACCGTGCTCACCTTCTGGGGCCTGGCGTTTTACTTTGCCGTCGCCGCCGTCCACACAGCAACCTATGCGCGCAGCGGCTCGGCGCTGCTCGACCGGTTTCCTCGTGCGCTTCAACAGGCCCACGGCCTGTTCTACTCGACCATTGCCGTATTCCCGTTTATCGTGACGGCCGTCTACTGGGGCAAGCTGTACGCGGGTGCCGGGTTCCCGCTGCCGTTTGACGCCTGGCGCAATGTGTCGCAGCACGCCATGAACTCGGGGTTTGCGCTCTTTGAAGTGGTGTTTGCACGTACGGCGCCGCAGCCATGGCTCCACGTGGTCGGCCTGATCGCTCTGCTGGCGCTGTACCTGGCGTTGGCCTACATTACGCGGGCCACCAAAGGCTTCTATGTATACAGCTTCCTGGACCCGGCGCAGAAGGGTGGTTCGGGTCTCATCGCAGCGTATGTGTTTGGCATCGCTATTGGGTGCCTTGTGGTGTTTGCCGTGGTCCAGGGTGCTCTGTGGGTGCGGCGGTGGGCGACGGAGACGAAGCTAGGCATGACGGGCAAGTTTGCTCGTAACGACCGGCAGGCCGTTGACATGGAGATGGCGCGGCCGAACAAGACCTAAGCGGCTTGGAGAGTCGTATTAGTGGACATTTTGCATGTGCAATTTCTTCATTGTTTTACAGTTGCACTTGGAGTGTGCTCTGCATCTGTGTTATCTCATTGGCGCGATTATACCCTGAGACGAGAATGAGAAGCGAAAAGCGGTGTGTTTCCGTTAATGTCTAATTTTTTTTCCCGCAAAATATCAAACTACATATGATAAAAACAAACCGAATGCTCCCAATAACGTATGCTTTAATTTACCATAGCTGACGAAGAAAACAGAACCGATAAATGAGAAAAGCCATCGTCATACAAAGGTGGCAACCACGTGCATTCCCTTCGCACCTCCGCACTAACACTTTAGCAAAATGCCGCGGCGCATCTCAGACTGGCGGATCTCAAACATGACCTGCACGCCGACAAAGAGAGCGCTGCATGCCGTGATCAGGAAAAGAAAGCCCGACCAATCGTGGACGATACCGTGCACGATGCTCTGCAGGCCGTCGAGGCCGACGGCAAAGCCGACGAGGTTGGCGCTCATCATCATGAGAATGTTGACGACGGCGCCGGCGCAGCAGAGCATGCGGTAGGCCGTGGGGCGGGCGGCCCAGCGGCGGCGGGGAAAGAGGAACGAGGCCAGGACTTCGGGAACAAAGAAAAGCACGACCAGCCAGCCCCAGATGAGCAGACGCAGCTGGATGTCGTGCCAGAGGGCGACAAACGTGAAGACGAGCATGTAGGTGAGCAGGGAGCGCGCGGCACCGAGCCACGACTTGAAGTTGGAGCCGCCCAGCGGGATCCAGATGTAGCGAACAAGCCAGCGGTTGTAGGAGCGGTGCCAGGCGCGCCAGAAGGACAGGGTGCTGTAGTTGTTGCTGACGCAGCGCAGCATGTTCTCCGGGGGGTCGACGCCGTCGAGTAGGGCCCAGAGGCGGAAGAGGCGCCAGGGAAGCAGCAGCTTGAGCCAGATGAGGTGCAGGTTGAAAAAGGACAGCAGGGACAGCTGGGCCGGGGTGTACGAGCCCCAGTGGGGGCCGGACTGGGAGATGGCGCCGACGTAGTCGTAGTGCAAAACCAGCTCCATGGCGAGCAGGCACAGGACGAAGCGCACGCCGTAGCGCAGGGTGCGGCGGCCCTCGATCGTGGCCGGGCGGTAGCGGGCCTGGTGGATAAAGTCGTTGAAGGAGACGATGGGGCCGGTCAGGTAGAGCGGGGCGTAGATAGCGTAGGCGACGTAGTTCCGGAAGGAGTAGTCCTGCGGGGGCGCGGAGATGGTAACGCGATCCCGCTCCGAGAGGTTGGCGGGATCGAGCTGCTTCTTCTGGGGATGTTAGCGAATGTACATAAAGTCAAAGGCATGGTACCAGGGTAAATGACAAAAAGGCATGGCATAAAGGCCGGCAACAAAACGTACCTCCAGCGGGCTTGAGCCGCGGCCGCCGTGGCTCCAGTAGTAGTCGAGGTTGAAGCTGATCAGACGCAGCACGGTGATGTTGAACAGGATCTCCCAGCGCGGCATGATGCCACAAAAACCGTCGAGCCAGGAGCCCCACTGCACGAGGGCGGTGGCCGTCTCGTGGCCCTCGACGGTCGCGCGGAAGATGGGCTCCCACGAGCCGTCGCTCACGAGTGAGGCCACATTTACGAGGTGGTAGCCGCCCGCCAGCTCGTTGGCAAAAAGCGTGCCAATGTTAAAGACCCAGGTGGCCACGGGGACGTACTGACGCGGCAAGGCGGTGGCGAGGTTGTAGTTGATGCAGAGGATCAGCAGGACCTTGGCGGCGGAGATGCCGTGCAGGGCGACGAGGAAGACAAAGGCAAAGACGTAGTCGAAGGAGAGACGCTGCTCCTTGCGGGCATTGGCCTGGTCGGGGGTGAGTGCGCGAGAAGGAGACGATGTCGAGGAGGAGGAGGAGGAGGCAGTCGAGGTGGGATAGACGGCGTTCCATGCTTTGCGCAGGAGGGGATGGAAGAGGAGAAGAAGGGCCATGTACGGCAGGTTGGAGCGGAATGTGTGGTACTGGGCATCGGACGTGTCAATTTTGCGTCCCGGGATCCAGCCAGGCGCCAGTTTGCTCTCGAATTGAGGATAACGCGGATCAGAAGCTAGATGGGAGAGAAAGTTAGAAGTCGGCGATTACAGAGTCGCCGGTCACAGAACAGCGCCTGTCTTGGGAGCCCGCGGGGCGGAGCACATACGCCGCGATACGTCGTAGGCCACCCAGAACATGTAGGGCACGACGGTCAGGAAGATGAAGTAGTAGACAAAGAACTCGGGCGAGCGCCATTTCGACGGCTCGGCGCGCTTGGCGATGTCGGCGGCCGCGTCGCGGCGACTGTCAGTGTGGTCGAGCGTGCCATTGCTACGGCCGGCGGCGTTGGACGACGGTGTGTCCGGCTTGTAGGGTACCGTCGACGGCGTGGTGAAGCGGGTGTCGAGAGTGTCGACGTCGTAGATGCTGCGGAGGAACGAAAAGAGCGACATGCTGGGCGAAGTCTCACGAGAGGGCGTCGGGACGCCAAGGGCAGGAAAGGGCAAAACGACTGGGCAGAAGCGAGAGGATCAGACCATGGCGAGTCTGTGGTGCAGAGAGTCGAGGTGAGAGCGCTGTCGGCGTGGTGTGGGCAAATTGAGACGAAAGGCAAAAGTGAAGCCTTGGGAAGACGTCACGCGTCACTTGAAGAAGCCACGAGATACGATGCTCATAAACTGCGGCACGCTAACGACGTAAAGTGGAAAGAGCGCCCCGCCAATCAGCAAGGACAGCTTGAAATGGCAGGGCCTGTTTCCCCTGAAACCGAGTGGGGCAGAGCACATGCCGCGCTTGGACTGGACACCTGAGCGCCCCCTATGAGCGCGGCTAGTGCTATCGCCACAGGCATTCCAGCGCCCTGCCGCGGTGTCACTGTACTGTGCACCGCCTCGTCGCAATCTAGACGCAGAAGCTTATCTAGCCAAATGGTCTTGTAGCCTAACACTGTTGGGCTCTGCAGAGGTGCCGTTGCTGCCTGTAAGTCTGCAATTGCCTGTTCGGGCTAGCGTGTCACTACTGTTCAGCGGGACGGGCCAGCAAGAAAAAAGGACGGTGGTGACAATAGATATTAGATACGAATTTATATTCACTACGGCGTAATATCAAAGGGAAATAGTACGGCCTTTCCAGGTATAGGGTGGTTAGTCGTGGATAGGACAGGACTCGAACCGCTGTACTTCTGTGGACGATGCTGTTGTTCCTCCTACCTGATTTCGTCGATTTGAAACTAAAAGTCAAGGAAGAAAAAATCCAAACAAACAAACAAAAGTAAAGCAGCAGCCGGTTGGTCGACCAAACCTTGACAAAAAAGACCGGGAAGACCGTCCGATTCAAAGAACCGGATTGATATGGTCCCGGAGGGGCTCGAACCCTCGACTTTCGCATGGTATTCTCGGATGAGAGGATATTAGTACGATGCGCTAACCAACTGCACCACGGAACCAGTCAGGACGATTAGATGGCTGCTCCGCCGAGAAGTCGACGATATATGGGGCTGACCCTTTGTGAGTAGCGATGGTGGCCGATCCCCTTGTCGACCAAATATCAACATAAAGTAAATTCATAACACATGTCTATTGTTCTTGTAGATGCATATGATGGCTGCGGTATCTCCTACCATCAGATCCAACGCCTACTCTCCAACGCCGTAGCTGCGCACGCGGCTGAAGAAAAACGGACGGTAGTTTTTGAGTCCGAACTCGCCCCAGTCGTCCGTCAACCGGTCATAGCTGTAGAACCCGCGCCAGTTGAGCTTGTTGTTGCGCGTGCCCTTGCCCGCCGACCGGAACGCCAACTCCATCCGGTAGTAGTACTTGCCCACGCCTTCCGTCTCCACCACCACGTCGCTCTCCGCATCCGAGGCCGCCGCCAGCGACGAAAAAGGGGAAACGAGCGTGCTCTCGGTAGCGTCTGCTGAAACGCCGTTCTTCTTTGGCACCCGTGCATCGCCTTCCACTACCTCATCACGGCTGCGCAGCTCGTCCTCCGAGCTGCCGGCACCGCCCTCCCCGTCCTCCTCATCGGCAATTCCCGACATCCGCCAGCGCCCTCTCAGCGCGTTTTGCATCACAATCGACGGCAGGTGCGCCATGGCCCCGCCCTGGTGCAGCGTCAAAAGGTCTTTGGTCAGGTGGTGGATCACATCCGGCGGCTCCGACGTCGTCAAAAGGCTGATCACCGTGCCGTCGCGGAAGAACCGGAGGTACCGGAAGTACGTCACAATGTGCACCGGGTTGCCCCATACCACCAGGCTCGCCGTCGGCTGGCCAGGCCGGATGTAGTTGACTGTGCTGATGTAGCAACCGTTGAACCGGATGCGCGGCCGCAGTCGGAACATGCGCTGCCACGACGGATATGCCGGAGGGATCGAGGTGACCTGCGCGCCGTCCGTACCGGGCACCTTGATGCCCTTCCGCAGCTTCATAGTCGTTGCCAGGCTGCTGGCCTGTCGCTGCCGCCGCCGCTCGTCTTGGGCGGCCTCGGCAGACACCACCATGCCATCGCCGACAGCAAACTCGTCGTCTTTGTTGTCGTCCTCAAGCGGGCCCCATGCGATTGTCCGTTCCCACGCGCGGTACATATCGGCAAAGCCAAACTCGGGGCCCACGCACACGCGCCGCCAGATGCGGTCCTCTGTCGCCACGAGGAACGCCAACTTGCGGCAGACTTGTGCCAGCCGCACAAAATCGCCGACATCGTCCAGGGCTACATCCCGTAGGATGTGCACTAGCAACTCGTCAGGAAGCTCTGCCAAGGGGCACGGTGGCGCGGGCATTCCCTCGATTGGCGGTGGTGCGCCTTCGATGGTAAGCCCGGCAAACGAGGAGATGAGTTCCTTGAGGGTTGGTGGTGGTTCCTGGCGGACAGGTTTCGCCGGGGCCGTGGAAGCTGCACCGCCGCCAGCACCTTCTGGCTGCTTTCCGTCTCGTGACGAAGACGACCCCGCGGCCGCCGGGGGCGGCGCGGGGTAGTGCTTTTTCTTGTATGCCTTGTCCACATTGCTGTCCATCTGCATCAATAGGAGGTATGTTAGCACGGCATATTCGATGTGAAGAGGTCGGGGATCTGACATACGCGGAAAGCTGTACGGTAGTGCCGCAGGCTGTCGCCGAGACTGCCCAGAGCTTCCTTTTCGACCGCTCTTTCGTAGTGCTCCAGTGCCGACTCGGGCTCTTTCTTGGCCTTTGGTTTCTGTTCCTGGTGGGCTGAAGGCGAAACCAGTTTGTGAACCGAGCTGCTGCCTTCATCCAAAGCCGGTGCGGCTGCCGACGACACACTCGCACCTTGTACTGTCCGGGGCTCGTGGGTCACATCGTCGAATGCTCGCGGCGGTGCATATTCGTCGTCGGTTTCCTGCGCGATCGGCTTTTTTCCGGATGATAGTAGCTTTAGTGGTGTCTGCGGTCCACCCGCGCTGCTCCCACGCCGCCGCGGCCCGGCTGGCCGCTGCGGAGCCTGGGGCGGCCGGTGGTGGTGTGGTGCTGTTGCTGGAGACTCAGAATCTGGTGCTGTGGCCGTCTTCGTCACCGCCTTGTTTTTCAACGAGGTAGACGCCGCACTGCTGCTCCCAGTGGCTGCAGCTCCGGATGGAGCGACTTTGGCCTCGACCTCGGCTCTCCATTGTTGCCGGAACGACTCGAGTTCGGAACTGATGTCACCGGAGCCGTCGCCGGAGGGCGGTGGCTGTGACATGCTGGTCGTGGAGATGGGGCAAGGAAAGAAAGTGGCCGAAAAGAGGAAAACAGGAGCTCTGGGGTTCTGGAGATAAAGATGACAAATGCCGGGGAAGGCGCAATCGAGTGCTTAACTGCCCTGTATTTGTAGCAGTAAACACACGGTAGCACTTTCCTCGAACTACACTCCAAAGTCAGCTCTTGCTCTCTGCGTCAGTGACAGGGACGTTCCGTGCCAAAAAATGCGTTCTCAGTCGAGGCAATATCATGGAGCCGTGACAGAGGATTAGGCAGGGCGAGAACAGCGTATTCCACTGCTGTCATGCAGTCATGCAGTCAGACATGCAGTCAGAAGGCGAGCTTACCCGGCGTGTGACTGTTCGCGGCGGCCAATGGACGGTGATTGGTGGGGCACATCACCTAGCGCGATCGCTTGGTGCACTTGCAAGGCTGGAAGCCTCGCACGCCCTGGTGCGCCGGAAGGCGCAATCCACCACCCATTTTCACCATCTCGTGTTTTGATCCTTATTTTGTACAATAAACAGATTTGCTTCTACTTGGGCAGAGAGACACGCTATGGCACATTTTTCTATTAAACGCGATGTACCTGTTAAATGCTTAGTTATTTGATATCATGTTTACTTGCCACAACGCAGAGACCCGACAACGCTATGCTTGAAAAATATATGCGATGCAAAAATACAACAGTGAACCTTTGTGTGTAGACAGACACAGTCCTTTTCGTCCCTCGCTAAGAGCCTGCCCGTGCCTGTGTCCAGAAGCTCTCCAGCTTCGTCCGCGCCAGAAAGTCAAAGGCCTCCCGGTCTGTGTCGCAGATCTTGCTGGACCATTTGTGAAACACGCGGCCCTTGGTCTCGCCGTCGAACAGCAACAGAATCTGGTTGTTTGGCAACGACTCGCTCTCGCTGGCCAGCCACTCGCGCGACGGTCCCTTGCTCTGGCCCGGCACATTCGGGATGCGACCCACGGCCGACGGCGTTGGTGTCGGGATCGTTGTGGGGATGTTCTGCGTCCAGTCGATGCGATTCATCATCAGCTTGCGGTACTTGTTGATGCTGTACTCGCCGCCCTCAACCACAACCAGGCTCGCCTTGGGATGCATCACGCACACGCCCGTCAGCGCCAGCTGCTCGGCGTTCTTCCAGATCTTGTACCGGTGCTGCCCGTTGGCCAGCGTCGTGATGCGGAAGATGAGCATGTGGATGCCCTTGGCCGCGTCCTTTTCCTGGTTCGCTGCTAGCTTCTCGTGCCGCTGCTCTTTCGTAAGCCGCCGTGACTCGTTGGCCTCCATGTGCTTGTCAAAACGCCCCGCAATCTCGCGATTGACACGCGCCTCCACCGCTGTCGGGTCCTGCACGGCCTCCTCGCCCAGCACGCGCATTAGGTTGGATCGCTTGACTTTGGGCGGCGGCGCCGGCATGAGACCCAGCCGGATCTTGGCCTGGTTCTCTTTAAGCTCCGCCATGCGCCGCTGCCGTCGCAGCTTCTTCTGTTCCTGCTTCGTCAGGTACATGGGCTTGGCTTCTGGAACCAGCTTGTCCTGTGGCGGCTCAATCGGGATCGGGTGCGACACGAGGTCTGTGATGATGCTCTCCTCGCCCTCGTCGCCCGGTGTCTCGCCCGCCACCTTGGGCTTTGTCACCACCAGGCAGTCGGGCATGTCGAGGTCGTCGTATGTCTTGCCCTCGGCAAAGTAGGCCTGGTCGATCCACTCAATGTCTGGTGGCGCCTCGACCACAAAGTTCTTGTCGCTGGGGATCTCGTCCATGCCGGCCTTGCGCGCCTGCTCCGCAATCCGCCGTTTCATCGCCTCGAGTGCCGCCTGCCGCCGCAGCGCATTGCCCTGCTGGATGTACTTTCCCTGTTCGTTGAACAGGAGCTGCCGTGAGTGACGTGCGCGTGCAGCCGGTGCCGGTGCAGCCGCAGCTGCTTCGACGATTGCGTCGCCTTCGGCTGTGGCCACGGTCGCTGGGCCCGCGTCGAGATAGGGGTTAGGGCGGGTCTTGCGGTTGTCGCGCTTGCCGCCGCGACCAAATGGTTTGGAGGTCGACGAGGAGGAGAAAGTTGCGTTGAGGTTCTCGAGCGCCGGATGGAGCGGCACATTGAGACCGCCCGACGGCGGCAAACCGCTTGTTCGTCCGCCGGAATCATCGTTGCCAAATGTGCTACCGCTTCCCTCGTTTCGTCGTGTGCTGCTACTTCCGCTTGCGCCATCTTCCGTCTTGGGCCCCGAAACGGCCGCCGCCACGCGTGCCTTCAGGGCGGCCAGCCGCTCTGCTGCCGAGGACATTGTGCCGTTTGTCGAGTCGGTCGCGAGCTCACGTCAGTTGCGTTGGCAACACGACGGCAACTGGTATCGCCGGCTGTAACCTGGCGGGGCTGGCGTTGGCTTGAACACGTATCCGAGACGCTAGAAAGGACGTACTTTGTCGTGCGGTATCCAAGGCTCGCTGACTGGGCTATGAATCGTTGTGCGTCGAGGTGTTGTTGATTTCGGGTGAGGTTGAATTCTTGGCCGCCTAGCTTTTCGCATCTTCCCCATAATTTTCGCCAAGCCTGTCCTGGACACCCGTGGCTAGAATGCTCCAGAGCTGCACGTGACCGCGTGTCAGTATGTGTCGGAGCAACCTAATGTCACCGACGCCGATAGCGGCCATTTTCGTATATGTGATGCTGGCTACCAAACCCACTTGAACAATTGTAAGAAAGAAGCTTTGCTTGCCAGTGACTTGCTGGACATCAACGCCAATAATGTTGTCCGCTCCTTTGGCCGGCACATGATACTTGTCGCTATTGAAGAGGGTCGCTCCTTCCTCAAGCACATCGTCTTTGCTTCTTATGCTCTTGGTGCTTTAATTGTCCCTGCTCCTGCCATGTTTGACATGCAGCACAACGTAATTACTGTGTACGGCATTGGTGCTGGCTTTATGGAGTCCAGTTGCACACTCGCTGGTATCGACTTGTATTATCCGGCCTGCGGGATGTCCAGCGCTTGAGTTCCTGAATGTCTGTTCTGTTTTTTTTTTCTTCTTTAATTAGTAGTTCTTTCGATCGGTGCTGGCAAAGTGTGAATAGTGAATCGCTCTTGCCGTTGGGGGCGTACCAAAGATTGATAAGTGGTTGATTTTCAGTGCGTCATTGTTGGCGCCAATAGCTCCTGCCATTGGAAAACGACGGGCACTTGTGGAAAGCAGCGGCTGAAGTAGCTCGGCTAGATCTAGCCCAATGAAATTTTCGCCCCCCGAACTAAACCGTTGACCGCATTCGCAGGACATGGACATACGAAAAAAAAGTGCAGTCATACATTTTATCTCCGCAGCCGTTTCCGTTCTTCTACCACAGGTCTCCTTTGTACTCTGATTCATACAACACACGTCACGACGAACAACGAAGTCAATTGCTTCTTTAGAATCGATTTGAACGGCATTTAAATGGAAACGTGCGGAAAAAGGGACTGACTCATTGTTTCTGCAGAGGGCTCCTTGCGAGTCGCTCACTTCTTGCCAGCCTCCTCCTCATCCACCTGAACCGCTTCGATCCTCAATCGCCACATTTGGCGATACTCTCTCCCTCACAATGAGGCACACGATGCCGCACGACGCCGACGTGCAGGACCACGACAGATTACCCTTGCAGCAGCAGGCCGAGGGCCCAGAGACACTGCCGTACACGCCACCGGTCATGGCCGAGATGAAGGCTCGTGCGGCCGACCCGGTTGACCCGGTTGACCCGCCGGAGATCACAGTGCTGCAGAGGATGCTGTCTGCAACGACTGGTAGTTTGTTGACAGCGCTGTTGGGTGAGTGCACATTGTCTTCTGAATGTGTTTTTCACTATTTTGTCCATTGCATCCTGCACGGCCTGGATCTCGACTTTTATACTGACCATGTGCCAACTTGTAGTCACCCCCCTCGATGTCGTCCGTGTCCGCCTACAGTCCCAAAACGTGTCCCGCCCCCGCGTCGACTTTGCAAAGCTGCCCGCCAACTTCCAGAAGATCGTGGCCTCATCGCCAACCGCTGTTCGTCCTACGGACCTCGGCGTGACTGCCTGTTGCCGTGAGGTGTTTTTCGTGAATGCCAACTCCGAGGTGTGTCTCGCCGGCCCAAAGGCCGCACAAGCCGAGACGGCGGCCGCGGCCGCAGTACCGGACTGTGCTGTTGAGCAGCACCAGAAGAAGACGATTAACTCGACCGTGGACGGCCTCCGCAAGATTGCTCGCAATGAGGGCATTTCCACGCTGTGGCGTGGCCTGTCTCCCACGCTGCTCATGTCCATTCCAGCCAACGTCATCTATTTCACCGGCTACGAGTGGCTGCGTTTCAACCCCGAGAGCCCAATTCACCGCGCTACGCCCGACCAGTACGCCCCGCTTGTGGCGGGCGCATTTGCTCGAGTTCTGGCCGCCACTGCCGTGGGCCCCATCGAACTATTCCGCACGCGGCTGCAAGCGGCGCAGGGCCAGTCGGCTGCCGGCCCCCTGCGGGACACGTTCCAAGGCTTGCGGCGCATGGTGCAGACGCACGGCATCCACTCGCTCTGGCGTGGTCTGACCCTGACTCTTTGGCGTGACGCGCCCTTTTCGGCCATGTACTGGTGGGGCTACGAGACGGTGCGTAGCCAGCTGACCGAGGCACGCGAGCGGCGCCGTGGCCGCGACCTGCTGGACCTGGACGGGTCGCGGCGGGTCCGCGAGCGCCGGCGGTCGCAGAGCCGCGAGAACCACCGAGCCACGTTCTTCGACAGCTTTGCAGCGGGCTCCCTGTCCGGCGCGGCGGCGTCCATTGCAACGATGCCATTTGATGTGGGCAAGACCCGCACGCAGGTGTACCGGGAAGCGGCCCAGGCGGGCGTGCCCACCGCCGCCGTGGCGGAAGAGCAGACAATGGGCCGGCTGCTGTGGCACATCTTCCGCACCGAGGGTGTTGCCGGCCTGTTCAAAGGCTGGATCCCCCGCACGCTCAAGGTGGCCCCAGCTTGTGCGATCATGATCAGCAGCTACGAGGTGGGCAAGAAGGTGTTTCGCGGCATGAATGAACGTGCACGAGAGCGAAAGATGAACGGAGCGTGACGTTCCGTTCCTTTTCTCTTTTGCAGTTTTTATCACGATGCTTGTATCAACAACATGGGCGGCTGATTTGTTTTCGACTATTGCATTGTTCTGTTTGGCGTTTTATTGGTCAGCATGGCGGTCTCTAGATTCTCTACGATTTCACACTTCCCTCTGTTACGTGATGTGTTTGCTTTACATCTCTTCATTATTGTTCTGGCTCGTTTGGGGAACGCAACTCAAAAAAAGGAACCCATGTACTTTACTCCCGTCCCAAGACGTAGCAATACAAAACTGTTGGACAGACTGCCCTTGTCAACAGATGCTTGACTGCGCTCAACCCCCTCAAAGCCCACAAATCCTGTTGGCTTATGGCTGCCTCAGTCCTGTTTGTCTGACTCTGACTCTTTTGCGGACAGCAAACGATCTTGACCGAAAGTCGCCAAGAGACTTGTCAGGATCGCATCGGACGCCTTGAGCCAATGCACAGCTTTGCAAATCTCGTTCTCTGTACGGCGTAGTCTTTCTACTTTGTATGCCTCTCAAGGCAGCAGTCAGGCTGTTGTCGAATGGACAGAACACTCGCATGCTGCGATGCCACCAAAATACCAACTGAGCCCGTTTCTCCGCACACTAGCACCAGAGCGAACAAGCTGGAGGATCAGACGGACCCACTGCTAGGCTCATCCGTTGTCATGAACGCCTTCATTGGCTCGCAGGGGAGACGAGAGCCTGGAAGTAACCGTCTGGGCAGAGCAAAAACGCGAAAATTCACGGCCCTCCACGTCTGACCCGCGTCGCACTTTAACTCAGCTACGCGCTATTGCATTTTGGACGGTGAACATACCACACAATACGAATTACGGAGTACCCGCGACCTCTCGCTCCTGCCTCCGTTCAACGCCCCTGCATGCACTTTCCCATTGCAGCCGAATCCACCACAGCCCCTGCCCCCATTGTCCGCTGAATGGTGGTGGCAGGTGCTAGCCTCTCCAGGTGCTTTCCACAACGAACCGCCTTTAATCTTAACCAGAGAAGCACGTCGTATTATTTCGTACTCCCGTACGCTCTTTCTTTGTAGAAACGGTTGGCGAACAGGAAGGCAAGACCCAGCATCTTTCACAGACATTGGGTCGTTGCGTTCCTTCCCCAAACCCTTGTAATATACTCCCACCGGACGACATATTGGAACGCCCAATTCTTTTTTCCCTTCTCCAGCTCACTTTTCCATAGCAACCCCTGTTCTTCTGTTTGAGCAGAACGAGAGAGATACAACCCCAGCAAGCAGAACCAGTGTCCCCTTTCCTCGAAAACGGCTACGACTTCAACGGGCTTTTGCTTTCAAAGGCCATATCATTGCCTCTTTTACCGCGTCTTTACAAGTCACTTCAACACGGCGCGATTTGGTCAACTGTCTGCACGGTCGACCGGCCTCGCCAACGATCTTCTCCACGCGCACCGGCGAGCCGCTGTCCATCGTCGTCTGTGGTTGCCTTTCATCCACCAGCGGCCCTCATCCAGCCTTCTTGCAAACATGGCTTCTCTCAAACGCAAAGCAGGTGCTGACCTGGCTACCTCGGCCGATCCCAAGAAGGCCAAGCAGCAGCCGGGACAGCAGAGCTCGCTCATGTCCTTCTTTGGGGCCCCCAAGGGAGCGCCATCGGCGGCAGCATCCACGCGTAACGCAAGCACAAACGGAAACGGCGTAAGCGGCAAGGTGAGCGGCGCTGCGAAGCCAGGCCTGGCGCCGGCCACACCAGAGTTCTTTCACTCACAGCCCAAGTTCGACAAGGCCAAGTGGGTGGCCAAGCTCACCAAGGAGGAGCAGCAGCTACTTAAACTGGAGATCGACACCCTCGGCGAGAGCTGGCTTGCCGTCCTCAAGGACGACCTTGTCACGGCGTCGTTTCTGGAACTGAAGCGCTTCTTGAGCCGCGACCACGCGGCCGGCTGCAAGATCTTCCCACCACCCCAGGACGTCTATTCTTGGTAGGCTCTGCCATACTCTCACGTCCCTTTTTTGCGTGCACCCCCACCCCTCCACCCTGCTGACCTTGCCTGTACTTGTTCAGGTCTCGATACACATCCTTCAGCGACGTCAAGGTGGTCATTCTTGGCCAGGACCCGTACCACAATGATGGACAGGCGCACGGCCTCGCCTTTTCGGTGAAGCCGCCCATCAAGCCGCCCCCATCGCTCAAGAACATCTACTGTGCGCTTAAAAGGGACTATCCCAACGCGTTCCAGCCGCCGCCGCCGCAGCAGGGTGGCCTGTTGACGCCGTGGGCCGAGCGCGGCGTGCTCCTGCTCAACACGTGCCTGACGGTGCGCGCCCACGAGGCCAACTCGCACTCGTTGCACGGCTGGGAGCGCTTTACGCAGCGGATCATTGACCTGGTGGCCCAGCGGCGCCCGCGCGGTGTCGTATTTTTGGCCTGGGGCTCGCCGGCGGCCAAACGCGTGGCCAAGATCGACGAGACGCGCCACTTGGTGCTGCGCAGCGCGCACCCGAGCCCATTGAGCGCCCACCGCGGCTTTTTCAACTGTGGCCACTTCCGTGCGGCCAACGCGTGGCTGATGAAGCGGTACGGCGCCGAGGGTGAGATCGACTGGAGCTTGTTGCCGGGCACGACGACGATCGAGGGTCTGCCGGAGAAAACGGTGGCGGCCCCAGTAGGGGACGTAAAGGTAGAAGAGAAGGCGAACGAGGCGGGGGTAAAGCAGGAAGAGAAGGCGACGACTGGGGAGACAAAGCACGCAGGGACGGCGGCCGACTCGGCCGAGAAGACAGCTGACACTGAGGGCGCTGCAGCCGTGGACGCCGACGACGAGAAGGTGAACGTCAAGGTCGAGGCAAAGGATGCCTAGGCGGTGTCAACAGCAGCCGATGCCGAGCCGGGAACGACCAGCACGGTCTACGGTGTCTCCGAAGCGATCCTCAGACGCTTCAGGACGACAGACGAGCCCTTCTTATATGATTGAAGACATTCATTCATTCTCATAATTTTGTGCATCCTGTGCACCCTTTCGCCGTTTCCCTTTCTCTACGTTTTATATGTCACATCATATCTGATCACTACTGATCTGCCGCTGCCCTTTTCTGTCTTCATACGGCCCTCATATTAAGTAACGTGTCTGCGTTTTCGCAATGTTGCAGCGTTCTATGCGCGCTCTTTTATTTCTATTTGTCTATTGTGTCTATTGTGTCTAGTTTATCTACTTCCTTTATCACGTTGCAGAATGCAATCCCGTCCAAAGACAAAGGCTGTCCGATGATGTCGTCGTCGCGTATGTTGGCCAGCGAATTATTGGTGTCAAGCCCCATTCACCGTGCACTGCATCGTGTCGTCTGTGCTTTGCGTGGATCGTCGCTCTACCCACGCTTCGTCATATACGCAGGTACTCCGCCATGTACCATATTCCGTGTTGTCGGAGTACACAGTCCCTTATCATGGCCAAGTTCTGCGAAGTATTCCGGACGCAAAGTAGTACACCGTGTGACATGGTCCATGAAAACCGTCACACAAACTGGACTGTGCTTTTGGCGGACGAAAAGGCTGCCTGTATGGACCAAGGTTGGCAATGAACTGGAACCAGCGCACGCCCCCGTCCATCTTTCTCTGCATTGCCTGGTTTTTTTACAGGGCGTAACCCTTTGTCTGTTTTTGTGGTTTTTGCTCATCTGTCCCGCAAGTCAAATCGTCCTGCATAAGCAGCGAATCAGCCGGCGCAAAAGGTGTTTCGGAATCCTCGCGGCGCGGGATGTTCTTTTTTCTTTGCTCTTATTATCGTGCTTTTTCTGGACATCCGTTTTGTTTTCAATTACAGAGGCACAAGCGAAAAGCCACATCAAGTCGGAGCCTTTTCAAGCCTCTTTGCGCATATTGACATCCTAATCGTTTTCACCCCACGTCTCGGGTAATACGACATGTACATTATCGTTTTTGCTCTTGCACGGGCCTGAGGTTAGTCGGGCATCAATCTACTTTGGTATTAATTTGTTTCTTCGACCCAGAGGCCCGGGATCCATGCATATTAACATCATCAGAATCCTTCGGACAGCACATCGCCGACCCTTTCTGCGCATCAGTCGGGGGACTGTCTGCAAAGCATACCGTGTACTAATCGGGCCTTGCCGGCACAATTCTGTGGCTCACATCGTATTATCGGGTACAAAAAAGACATGCGGCCATCAAGTCCTCGAGAGCAATATTTTCCGTCGGTGTAAATATGTGCGACACTCCAAACAAGGGATCATGATCGGAACGAAGCCATAATGAATGAAGAGAAAATGCAGCATGTAGAAGATGGCTCGCCTCTTACGTTCGTACTGCATAATAAAAATGGCATCCTATCGATTGTCACTGTGGCTTGCCCAATAAGCGAGGGATGCACGAGCGCGACATCGTCGACTGCCAGCTCATAGTTTTGCTGCGTTGGCACGGAGCTAGCTCGGGCTAGACTTACCCGTGCCCGGGCTATGCCATGCTGGCAAATCATCCCCCTGTCGCCCATCCAGGAGAAACGTAGCTACCCTTTCTCCTTCCATCCCGTCCCGGTAGTGGTGTAAACATGTTGGCCGCGGCGAGAAGCCAGGTCGGAAGCAAACCAGGGCGCGCAAAAGGAAGCAGAAAACGACGAAAAGGACAAAGGAAAGGAGGAGCTGGAAACACGGTGAGCCGGCTCAGCTGCACTGCTCGGCAGCTGGCAAGGCTAGTGATGCATGCTCGTACAAGCTGCGTCTGCCAACAGCTTCGGATATGCGGCGTGGGCTGAAGCAGACACAAAGGTAGGGGTTTTGTGAGACAAATACGGCACTCGATAATTTCTTGTCAATCCATTGGTCTTCGTACAACGCTGGTGTTGTTTTGGTGCCTCTGCCATGGCTGACTCTGGCCTCGCCCATGGGACAACCACAGTGCCTGTGACCATTCAAGACATCCACAACTACATTGACTTGCAGCCTATTCTGCGCCTCCTCCGGCAGCTGCACGAAAGCGTGATCCACCCTAAGCCGGCAATTAGCCAAACTATTGCCTTGTGAGTTTTGCAAGTTGATTGTGCTTGAGAATTCGGCACTCTGTAGGTCTACAGGACAACGACCTCTTGAGCGTTGGTTGATGAATATAGCTCTTTATGAGCCGGCTCATTGCCTTTTGTGGAGGATCGAATCGATAATCTTCGACGCAGCCAAGCATTTCTCATCGTGGAAGCGAGGAGCGATAATTTGCACAGCGCAGGGCATCCCGTCGAGGGCCTCTGGGTCGTCTATAAGGAGAAGAACGGTTAACGGCTGTAAGCGCGCGAGGTTGGTGTCGGCCATACATACACGCTGGGCCCCTGGCTGGGGCTTCAAATGCTACTGGGCTCGGGTCGAGGATTTTGGAAACTTGCGAGAATGGAATGACGGCAGCGGGATACTACGTAGCGAGTCGGCAACGGTTAGGAGCGCCATCGGTCACGATATGTGCCAGGACAGGAAATTTTTGACATACATCAAGAAGATTCCACATGACCGTGTATGGGAAGAGGCCATATGTATCATGCGGCACGGCCGTGTTCTGCGCTGAGGGGGCCAGGACAATATCTAGTTCCAGGTCTGACAAAAGCCGGCGCCACGAATTACCGTACTGAACCCGTTTCAAATCTAGGGCGGCGAGATCCTGGATCGAATAAGGGGGCTTGTCGGTTGGCGGATTATCCAGACCCAGGACTTTCAGCGAGTTTATTGCAGGTTCGCCGCTTTCGTTCACATAACGAATTGACGTCTGGCTGGTATCGAGGGACAAGTACTCGAGAGACAGGTCGAGGCCTGTCCCTGCCGCTGTAGAAGGGTCCTGTGAGAGCGGAACGATTGTGTGTCCGGCACTTTGGAGGAGGTCAGCAGCGTCGCGGATGGCACGTCGGACGGGCGGGTGCAGCGGCCATTTCGGGTCTTCAGCCAAGACGCCAATTCTCAAAGGCAGAGATGTGACGTCAGTGGTCTGCCACGGCACCGCATGTGTGGTCGAGTCGTATCTCCAGGGCTCGGCGTCAAGCACAGCTGTAAGGAACAGCTCTGTGTCCTCAAGCGACGTGGTTAACGGTCCAGCCGTAGCTAGGATTCCTGGGTGGCCCGGGAGGCCGTGCCATGTGACGCCCCCATAAGGCACCCGGCCGGACGTTGGCCGGAAGCCGTAGATGCCACAGCATAATGCGGGGATGCGAATCGAGCCGGCAATGTCCGTAGCTACTCCGATCAGGGAACCTCGCAACGCAACAAGCGCTCCTTCACCGCCAGACGAGCCACCAGCCGTAAGCGACGTACGATGGGGGTTTAGAGTACGTCCGAAGATATTGTTATCGGAATCAGCGACCTGAACACGTGTGAGTATTAAGACCAAATCATGGGTACGAAATGAGACAATCAGTTACCATCATCGTCTGCGGGATGTTGGTCTTAACGTAGAGGACGGCCCCAAGCTTGAGGAGCATATCCACGACAACCGAGTTTTCCGCCGCCGGCTCACGATCAAGGAAAGACACGTAGCCAATAGTGCTCTGCACACCCTTGATGTTGTAGCTATCCTGGTGGGATGAGAAAGAGGGGGTTAGTTAACGGCTCGTCTACCGACGTAGAGCGCCACCATACCTTAATGCTGATGGGAAGGCCATGAAGAGGTCCTATCACCTTCCCTTCCTTGCGAAGGTACTCGTCTAGGAACCGCGCTCTCTCTATTGCTTGGTCGAAGAATGTCTCGGTGAGACACGACGTCTGTACATGCTTCGTAAGAACTGTGTCATCGGACATGTTATGCTATTATGATGATGTCTTCTCACCAGTTGTTGGGCAATAGCAGCCCGTTTCGAGAACGCCAGAGTAACATCCTCCGCAGAAACGAAACCAGAAGCAAGTTTGTCCACGAGCGCCTTGGCGGAATAGCTCTCGGTGAGGTCGATCTCACGCGAGGATAAGATGCCGCTTTGGCGGATCGCATCAGACGCGAAGAGGTCAGTCGGCTCATGTTCGGAAGCGTTGATCTTCTCGAGGAAGCTCGTCGACAACCGCCATTCCGGGGGAATCTTGTCTCTCGCAGCTTGCTGTTTTGCAGCTGCCCGTTCCTGCCACGAGCGAGCCATTTTCGAAGAGACACCGAGTTACGAGGTTACAGACATGACAACTCATCGTGAATGTAGGCGATGTAGTTCTAAGTGGTTATATACAGCAGACTTAGATCCGTGATCCTCGGTTATGGACCTCCGTACGTGCGTGCTTATTATTTGTAAGTTCCCTATTTGTAAGTTTCCCATTTGTAATGCAGTCATAGGCTGGGCGAGGTAAGATCGTGAATGTCTCCGCCAAGCTCTGGATTCTCTTTGAGAAAACCAATGTCAGAAAATAGTACAAACGAGGGTCAGAGGGAGCAGCCAACAAGGCACAAAAACGTGGACTCAGGGTCATGGGCGAACCTTTGCTTCTCCCATTCAATTCACCGCCGTTTCTCGTCGCTCCCCGCTCTGAGCTTCGTTCTTAACGTCTACGCGGCTATCCGACGACGTTTCGCGCCGGCTCTGTTTTCTTGTTGTATCCCGCAAGCCTGGCCTATTTTCCGTGGCCCGTTATCCAATTGTGATCGGCTTTCGTCTGTCGTCGCATTTTGCCAATCGACTCTTAGTGCGCATTCTCTCTGTGTGGCAATCGGTGGAGGGTAGAGAAACTGAAACGGGCCAAGTGAGTACCGACAGACCAGCCCGTTGGAGCTAGCAATGGACTGCAAAGCTGCCAATTGATATGGCGTCGCGCGGTGGGAGCTTTATCGATGGCGTTCCGTAAGATGGACGACCGACGTCAAATGCTACGAAACGAGGCTGTCCATGCGGCACTCCAAATCAGACCATCGCGCTCTCGAGCCGCGAGCACTTTCCTGCTTGCAAGAGCTTTCCTGCTGTCAGGCACAGTTTGGGTGCGCCTTCCTCCAGTGCTGGTCGCACCTGCCAAGGCCGGAACCAAACCCAACACAGCAAGTTCTTTACTGGAAATCACTACATCGTATGGTTTGGGGCAGGATGGACCCCAACGACGCCCACTTGCGCACTCATTTGCGCTCAAACACATCTGATTTGCACCTTCCGTTACTGCGTGCACACCCCTGCCCCTTTAATTTTTCCTCCTTTGGACAACTGGCTGGTGGTGGGTATTATTCCCTCCATTTGCTCTTTCCCTCTTTTGCTGTGTTCCTCTTTTTACCCCCATGTCTCGCCCACCCAATGCAAGGCCCGAGAAAGGTCGACCCTTGCCCATCACCCCTTCCCCATTTGGCGCTCCCCCTGAACGAAAACACGCAGCTAGTAAGGTAGAGTGGCAGCACAAGAAAAAGGGAAAGAGCGAGTCGACAAACGTAAAACGAGCCTCGCTCTTTCCCATCGTCTCTTATCCCGTCGCTCCTACCCTGTCCGTTACGCTTCTAATGTCCCGTCCCTTCCTTTTTTGCCTATCCCACCCCTTTTTTCTCCTCTCTTCGTTTTGAGCCTGCATTTCTGCCTCACTTCACCACTCTTTCTTCCCTCTTCCACCTTTATTGTTTGCTATTGAGCTTCACGCGTCTGTCGGTCCACCCCTTATGTCGACCAAGTATTGCTGCTACTTTGGCTTTTCAATTCTCTCCCACTTGTGAAACCCGATATAGCCGTCGTTGTGACGCTGCCTTCGCCGCTTCCCACTGTTCAGCCCTACCTTTGACCTCTTCCGTTTGCGACGTTCCGACTTACTTCGCATTGACCCGGGGGTAACGACAAACACTAAACGGGCACGGCGACAAGCACCGCAGGCACGGAAAGATGCCCAGCATATTTTCGCGCCTCAAGGGCAAGGACGGCCCCACCAAAGTCAAGTCCAAGAAGAACGGCGCCGGCCAGGAGTCCGCCAGCCAGGTGCCGGCTAAGCCCCGTTGGGAGGATGCCTACACCCGGAAGACTGTCGAGCCCGAGGAGATACATGAGCTAGTCCGGCTCTGTGTGGACGAGTTGAAGGCCAGAGGTTCGTTTGCCCTTGCTTCTAACCAACCTACAGCGCCTGCTTGGGTGTAATTGTTCTTTGTCTATGCGAATTACATGATTTGGTGTTTACTCTAATGCTGACACCCATCCGTTTGCCTCACTCTAGCACTCGACATCCCATTCCTTCTGCTACCTTTCCGGCCCACATCCGACCCAAGTGCTGTGCGCACCTTCATACGCCACTTTTTCGACCAACAGGCGCCTCTCTCGGGCGAGTTGCTGCTCCAGGAGCTGCGCATGACCGAACCAATGGTCATTTCTGGTGTTGTTAAGTGGTGCTGGAGCCGTCTGCAGGGCGGTATTGTTGGCTGGGATGCCTACGAGCTTTTCAAAATCGGCGAGCAAGGTACGCTGTCCCAAAAGACCCTGCAACTCTTACGACCCCTTTGCCCCGCTACTGACACTGAGGCTTTCGCTCTATAGATTCTCACGGAGCGCATAGCTCTTTCACAACATTTATACCCCTGAGCGTGGACAATCATGCTCGTTCTAGCATTATTTTCAGCTTTTTCGACCTCATGTCGGCCATTGCCGCGCATGGCAAAGTCAATGGTTTCGGTGGTCGCAAGCTCTCGCGCATGGCATCGTGGTGGGCATTTGAGAACAATGACACAGGCAATGGGTTCGAGGGCGGGTACAAGGAATGGCTAAAGGCTGCAGATGCCACCAGTCACCTTTTCTTTGCATACCTGCGGTCGCTGTCGCCACAGCAGGGCGTCGGCAGCTTTGCCATTCTCCCCATGTCCCTCCAGAAGCTTCTGCAGGAAACCGAGTACCCTCCCCAACGGCCGAGTTTGCTCCAGTCGTCCACGAACAAGGTCATCATGATTGTCGACACAGTGTCTCCCACGCCTTTCGCACTTCTCCGCCGTGGTAACCATTTCCAGTACCGCGAAGAGGATCGCGCGCTGCGTGAATTCTCCAACTATGATGACCCCGTCCAGGCCTTGACAGACGAGTGCCGCAGAGTTCTTAAGGCTGTCTCGGCGGCCAACCAAACGCAGGCCGTCTCGAGTTCCAAGCACTCCACTTCGCTGCGCGATGCGTCCTGGTCGCGCTTCGAGGACATTGGCTTTGGTAGCGTTTTGGAAGAGGAGGACGACGAGGACGAAAGCGCGAAAGACCTTGTGAGCCGGCGCAACCGTGGTCTGCGGACCACACCCGCCTCGGGAGGAGACGGACTCGCGCGACCGACGACTCCGTCTTGGGCTGATTTCCTCTCGTCCGGCTTTGTTGATGACGGCCCGAACAGCCCGACAAATATGCTTCTTCCTCCGGACAAAGTTCTCCCCCCCATCGACGCACAAATTCGCCAGAAAAGTTCCCAGTCGCACCGCCCTCGCCTGGAGACGGAGCGTACCCTCGAGCCCGGTGAGCTTGCCAGCATCAGCCGCTTCGATCTGGACGACTCCTTCTGGTGGGTATGGATGACAAGTTTGGCGCCTGAAGAGACGCCAGAGCGGAAGTCGACGTTTGGACGATGTGCTGTCATTGAGACCCGCATTCGCTCGGGCCGTTGGCTGGTAATGGAGGAGATCGTGAAGGGAGCGGCTGCTGAACCCGACCCGGGCGCATACATTGCTGAGAAAAAGGGCTTTTTCAGCTGGACACGCCGGAACAAGGGCATCTCTCGCAGCAAGTCTACTGGCAAGCAGGCGCTTGACCGGGGCCAAAACGGCCTCCTTGCGCCTGGCAACACTCTTGGTGTTAGCAAAACCAGCGTTGCTCCTGACCAACAGGCCAAGATCCAGGCGGCGGCACAGAGACTGCACGAGCGCCAAAGAAGGGAAGAGAGAGAGCAGGCTGGGTCTGCTCTGACAAAGCGCGGGCGTGTCGAAAATTCTTCAACTGAAAAGACGACCAGTGTTCTGACAATCCAACCCGTTATCGCCTCTGAAGCCTCTTCCGCCATGAAGTGGGCTAGCAAGTACGACAAGGAGGCAATCCGGGATGCGTACCTGTCCAATGCCAATGCTGGCCGAGGCACCCCGGCATCCATGTCTACACCGGCCGTGCACCTCAATGGTATTCAATCTTCGACGAATGGCCACGAAAAGTCCAACGCCGCTACCGAAGGTACACGGAAGCCCCTTGCATCTCCAGCGGCCGCATCCCAGCCGACTGCAGCGCCAGCTCCGGAACAGGCACCGGTGGTGGCTGCTGCTTCGCCGAAACCATCGGCGAGCCTCACTATCCTGCCAGCACCGGCCCGCAACGAAGACTCTCTGGATCTATCAGAGAAGGCAGTCAGAGTGGCCGACTCTCCTACAAGCATCCACCCTGCTGAGCGCCAGGAGGAGTCTGGCCGCACGTCGCCCCCGGTCCCTCCCAAGGACAACCAGGATAGCCTGGACGCTACGCGCCCTGCCGTTGTCCCCCCTGCGCCTGCGGTTCAATCTAGCCCTGAAAGCAAGAAGACGGGAAAGAAGCTCCACAAGGACGGCAAGGAAGAGAAGACGTCGCTACCTCCTTCTTCTGGCGGTCTGCGGAAGCTCTTCGGCCGCAAGAATCGTCAATCCAAGTTGCCCGATAACGCCGCGGCTGGTGTGAACGCCTTGCTTGCTGCTGATGCTAACAAGGGAGCAGCTCCCAAGGCTGCGCCGGCGCCAGCGGCTCCTGTCCAGAAACCGGCGTCGATCGCGTCCACTGCTCTCCCGGCCGCTGCCCCGGCCGCTGCCCCGGCCGCTCCTGCTGCACCGGAGGCTGCTGTCACCCCCGCGGTTGCCGCTGCTCCAGCAGTTTCTCCTGCCCCGGTTACAGCACCTGCCCCTCCTGTTCAGAATGAGCAGCCGGTGGATCCCCCGAGAACCCCGACAGTTCCCGAGCCGGTCTACGCGCCATCTAATGATTCGCTCTCGCGCGTCGGTACCGCTGAAGCCCAGGACGCCGCTAAAGAGTTCTCTCGGTTCGACCAGGGTCCATTGACAGACCAGCCGGCCTTTGTCCCAGACGACTCTGACAATGATGCTGACGAGGCCGTTCCTCCGCCTATCGCCCGCCAACGGTCACCCGTGTCGCCTGAGCCTGTTACCCCCGTCCCCACCAAGGAAGCGTCGCCGCCTCCCGCGGTCCCCGCCATTGACCGTTGGGCGCAGATCCGGAAGAATGCTGCTGACCGCGCTGCCCAGCGCCAGGTAGAGGAGGTGCCACGGAAAGAATACACCAGCAAGCCTTCTGATGCCGATGGCGACACCAGTGGTGAAGAGAGTAAGTTGACAACAGCAGTATACTTTTAAAAGTGATTGGAGTTTGCATGCTAACATTGCCTCCTAGCTATTGAATCGCGTGTTGCTCGTATCAAGGCTCGCGTGGCTGAGCTGACTGGCAACATGGAGGGCGTTTCGCCTCCTGGCGCCCGCGCTCCACCTCCCATCCGTCGCTAATCTTACCTCAGACCTAGCATCTGAAAACGATGGAGCTTGCATTCTTACATATCCAACCAAGTTGGAATTCTTGCATCCTATCTAGCGTGCGAGCGAATCCTTTTTGGCTCTGATTCGAACTTTTTTGAATTTTCTTTTTGAAGAAAATCGTACGCCCGCCTCGTTCTTTGGGCGTTCGATTTCATTTATATCATGCAAATCTTCTGGCTTTTTTATGTTTTCCATTTGTTTGATGCTTTTATTATTGATTTAACATTTGATTTCTTTCTTTTGGACAATTTGTTGTCGAATTTTGAGGTTCTCGGAACCTCCCTCTGGCATTTCTTGTTTCTCTTTAATTTTCTTGAGAACCCACCCTACAGATTTATACCCCCCCAAAAATGATACCACTAGAGGGAGGTTCCGGCGTCTTTCTCTTTTGTTTGTTTTGTGTCTTTTATCAATCACACAAAAACAGCTTGATGAAGTCAGAAGTGAGCGAGTTGTTTTTCCAGTTTACTTTAAAAGAGTTAATTTAAATCCATTATATGCTATCGTCACACATGCACATATCTGTCACGCTCTCTTCTAGATTATGTACACGAGCCAGACGGCGCCGAGAGCCCAAAGACAAACCTCGGATCGCAAGCTACTAAATACCCAAAAGTCACGAAAAACGTAAAGCAGAAATTAAAAACTGAATAGGTGCCATCTCTATGAGATCGGCCTGCACCATCAGATAAAAACAGAAGCGCCGTACCTATTCAAACGCCGAGTACATAATGTAGGTTGGATTACCAATGAGACAAAAGAAAGACGTGCCATGGTGTGGGGATTCAAGTGCGTGTAGCGCAGTGGCTGCACAGTATGATTGATGTGATTTTACAAAGGAAAGGGAAAAAAAGACAAAAAAAAGAAAATGTATTAAGCAACAAGAAGCAGGACAAAAGAATAAACGTGTGCGGTACCGGCAGGCGAGGGTATATATATGGATTAGTGAGTGTGGGCGTGACCACCGTGCTCGCTGTTCGCACTGCTGCCAGGTGGTGAGCCCGTCCGGGAACCGGTGCGTGACGCGACCGAACAGCAGCCCTGTGCTTCACAATCGTCGACGCAGTCTAGCAAGCAGCTGGGGCCACCGGCGGCAACATCGCTGCCGGCCGCCTTGGCCGTGGACGTGGTTGCGGTGGCAGGCGTCGTGAAGGTCGTCGCGTGCGCGGGCGCTGACGTGGGTAGGCGGTCGCCAAAAACAGCGTGGTCGCCAGCGTGGTCGCCGCCGAGGCCGACTCGGAACTCGGGCTGGATGGTGGCGCTGTGGATGCCATAGCCGTGCAGACACTTACGCACACGACGGGCTAGGCCCATGTAGCGCTCACCGCCGTTGTCGGTGATGGGGAAGGCGACCTCAATGTGCAGCGAGGCGACAATCTGGGTATCGGACAGCTGCCAGACGTGGATGTGGTGGCAGCTGAGAATGTCGTCAAGGTCCTGGATATCTTCGCGAATGTCGTTGACGTTGATGTGGTCGGGCGTGGCTTGCAGGAGAATCTTGGACGTGGCCTTGGTCAGGGGGATGGCGGACTTGAGGATGATGAGCGTGATGAAGAGCGAAACGACAGGGTCCGCGTACATGCGGTAGGTCCAAGTGGTCTTCCAGATGATGAGAGCGGTGACAATAACGCCAATGTTGCCCAGAGCGTCGCCGATAACGTGGAGCACCATGGCGTTCATGCCCATGTCGCCGTGACTGTGGCCGCCGGCCTTGCTCGGGTCGCGCGGCTCGTTATGGTGGTGGCCACCGTGCGAATCGCGGCGACGACCGTGGTGGTAAGGATGAGCGTGGTTGTCGTTGTGGCCGTGGGCGCCGTCTTGATCGTGGCTGTGGGCCAGATCGTGATTTTCGTCTTGGCCGTCGCCCGGCACAGCAGCACCGCCGTACTTGCCAGAACCAGCTGAGCTCTTCTTGCTGAAGAAGCTGTTGCTCTCGTCTCCTCCAATAAGAGGCGTGCGCTCCGTGGCCTTGGTGCCCCTGGAGCCCTTGGAGGAGCTGCTCGTGTTGGCGGGGGTGTTGTCTCCGACTGTTGTGGTGTCGTCCGAGTAGATTTCGTCGTCGTCGACGTTGCGGGACCGGCTCGCAGCAATGATTTCGCGGATGTCGTTGCGGAAGCTGGCGGGGTGGATGCTGATGTCGTTGATGGTGGTCTTGATGCGGCGGCCACTGTTGGCGCGGCCGCGCACGCCACCGGTGCCTCGCGAACGAGCCGAGCCGCGGCTGTCGGAGCGTTCATGAGCGTGGTGGAGGGCGGAGAAGGCGATGCGGCGCGTGTCGGGGCTCAGGGGCGATGTCTCCGCATTGGCCTCTTCATCCTCGTCGGGGCAGCTGTCGACATCATCATCGACAGCAGCAACGCCGTCCTCCTGGCCCTGCTCGTCGTGCACGTGGTTGTGTTCGCTGTGGCCATGACCGTGCTCGTGATCGTGGCCAGCCTCCAGGTCGCCGCCAGGGCCGTGCGAGTGGCCGTGGCCGCCCAGCACCCAGAAGCCAACGAGGTTGGAGACGAGGCCGAAGCAGCCGACAATAAGCACGATCTCGGGGCTGCTGATGTCGGGAGGGTCGAAGAAGCGTTGGATGGCCTCGAGGACAATGGTGACGCACAGGCCGATGAGGAAAGTCGCGTTGAAGAAGGCACCGAGAATCTCAGCGCGAAGCCACTGCAGGGCGTGTCAGGGCGGGCCAAACAAGTCGTGGCGGAAGGCGGCACGGAGGAGGAACAGAACTTACGCCATAGGAGTAGCGGTCGTTTGACTCTTTCCGGGCGAGAGTAACGGCCCAGAGACCGACTGCGAGGGAGATGATGTCGTTGAGCTGCATCCAGATTAGCATGCGACCATAGCGAAAACGGGATCTAAGCACGTAACCGCCATTCCGAAAACTCCACGGGAGACAGCAAGTGCATACCATGTGGAAGGCGTCTGCAATCAGAGCCAAACTGGAGACGTAGTACCCGACGCCGAGCTCGATGACGAGAAAGACGGTGTCGAGCGCCATCATGACGCCGATGCGCGTCGTCTTCGACCAGCCTTTCATTTTGGCAGTGGGTGGCAACAAAGCCAGCACAAAAGGACGGGCGTGCAACACGAAGCAGACAAGAAAAGTCGCACGGCAACGGGGGCGCAGGCGACGAGATGGCGACGATGCGCCGGCTGCACAGGATGGCGATTGCGAGCGAGGTTGCGTCTCGACTGGCGTTTTGGTTGAGATGACGTTGTTTTCCTCGCCAAAAGAAAAAATAAAATAAAAATAAAAAATAAAAAACCGGGTAATTCTGGTTGGGTGGTCTGAGCCTCTAGCAGGGTGATCCGGGCACGCGGCGGCGTGAAATCACGACGGCACACTGGATGAGGAGATTCGTCTGGCAATCATGAGGAAACGCGAGATAGCAGCGTCGGTTGTCGAAAGGAACGTTGGCGACGTTCACAAGAGTTGTAGGAAACTCGAGTGAAGGATGCAAGATGTTATGGAAGGCAAGAGGCAAAAAGTCTAATCACGTCAACGGCGCCAACAAAAGTGGAGGAAGGGAGGAATGAGGTAACTCGGGAATGGACATTGGGGGCAGGAACGACCTGTTGACTAGAGGACGCACCTGCTGTTCAGAATGCGCCCATTCAAACACAGAAGGTGCGCACGTCACCAAAAAAGGACCAAACGCGAAAATCAGGTCAACATAATCGATGGGATTTTGTCCTGTGAAAAAAGGAAAATATAATATAAAACCTTCTCAAAAATGAAGACAAGAGCTCATTCGAGGTACATTTTTCACGAAATGTCCATTGTGGCCTTTGACTTTGACCTCCGCAATTGAAAGTATGCTCGGCAGGAAGTAGCTACCGGCCGCACCAAACCGCTTTTTCCTTTTGTTGTAAAGGGGCCAAGGAGACCTTTAGGGGCGAATAGTGGGGGCCAACGGCGACTAGAACGCCCCGCAAGGCACCTGATGGGCAAAAATAGTCGTAATATGCTGCTAGGCCGGCGTGGCAACTTTTGCTACCTTCCATTTTGGCGCGGAGCCGAGCGCCTTCCAGAAATTAGTTGCCACTTTGTCGCAAGTCAACGGAGATATGCTTTTGGGATAAATTGGCAGGAGCATGCTTGCTCTTACCCTTATCTATAAAACAATCAATGGCTATCAAACGCCCTGAAGAGGGCAGGAGCAATATAAAGATTTTGCGGCGAGGAACTGCTCGTTTCCTTTTGTGAATACGACATCTTCTTTCTCTTCTCCTCCTACTCTGTCTGTTTTTCAACATGCGTCGCGCATACAAAGCTGTGTACTCCGTTCGTTCTCTTGGCCAGCCAATACGCGTCCCTGAAGGTTCTGCCAGGCACCATTGAAGAGCAAACCTTGGTCGGCGGGAGTTGCAAACGGGAAATACCGAAATTAAAAGAGGAGATGGATCCCAAGAAACGTCTAAACACGATTCTCTTGTGAGGGCGAGACATGAGAACCTTCTTTCAGGTACGACGTACCGACTTATACACTGTGGCGGTCGACTTCAAAAGCCGTGGGAAAGTCCCTTTGGACAACGACCGCCGCAACTGGGAAGAAGAGGACAAAGAAACGAACACAGATCCTGACGAACGAAGGACGGCGGTGAATTGATTCGCTCTTGTGTTTGTCTGCGAGTTTTTTCTGGTGCGTGAATCCACTCGGTCGAGCGATATCAGATTTCCATTGGCCTTGCAACCGGCCTTCGTACCTACCTACATGTCCACAAAGCATGGCTTAAGAGTACATATTGTAACGCGTCTTGCATAAGGCGGTCGTTGGGTTGAGCTCGACTATCCCCACTTAAGGGCTGCGTATCGTGACGCAATACCACTCCTCCGGAATCTACCCGAACCGGCACGGACGACACGGACGACACGGAGAATGCCTAGGAATGCCAGATATGAACAGGAGACTTGACTTGAAATGTGACCGTCCGATATTTGAGACGACGCCGAAATGTATCCTTTCTTT